TTCATAAGGACACCATTCATGCTGGTTAGTGACCATCCTGATCACTTCATTTTAACTTAATTCCTTTTTTATAAGGTCCCAATCTCCAAGTGCAATCCCATTCTGACATTCTGCATGTGACACTTCCCCAAAAGCAGACTTTGGAAGGAACCCTCCCACAGAATCTTATTCTAGATAAGGCCATAAAAACTCGGAGGGGCAGCAGATAAACTAACTTGGGAGCCTAACATTACATTTATTGGTTCTCAGTGAAACTTCAAGGAGGACTTTGGTGCTTGAAAGAGAAACCTAATATTTCTGCCCTTGTGTTTTTTTAATTTCCAAGGCAGCTGCAGAAACTGCCAGAGCCTAAAGGAGACAGACTTGCCAGGACTCAAGGTAAGACTTCTGAATATTCTTTCACAGGGTCTTGACAGAACTTGGACTCTATCAAGAGGGGCCCAAGACCTAGACAAACCCTGGAAAGGTCCTTTAGGAGCTGCAGGAGTTGAGGGTCCCCACAGACTAACGCAAACAGTAACAGGTCCAGCCAATATTGTTTGCTCCCGGGGTCCGCGGAAGAGTCTACCAACCAGCTGAGGATTCTAATCTGAGGGGTAGTCAATGAATCTAAGCACACTGAGTTCTTTAGTCCATTCGCTTTATTTCTCTAAGTCAATTCTATCTACACAGTTTATTTTCTGCTCTCTTATTTAGCTCCTCTTGGTTCCTTCTGCTCTCAATCCCTCCTGCTGATCTCTCATCATTCTACCTAGTTCTTTCCATCTCCGTCCTCATCTTTGTTCTTCTCCATCAATCCTGTTCTCCCAGTGCTCTCAGAGAACCAGTATATATACCCACACAGCAATTCTTTGGTAAAGCAATGCAATGCTTGAAGTTTTCAGGGTGGCAGAGAGAGAGGTGATAAGGATCCACACATAAAGCAATTAATTGTCAGCGTCCAATCACAACCCAAAAGGGGAGTGACTAAAGGGGAGTTCTCTGGTAGGGGCAACTAAAGGCTAAGATCAATTAGGGAATTTATGTGCTCAAACTATAAGCTAGAAATGGCGAGGTAAAATGTTAGGGGTCAGTAAGTCACAAGAAAGTAAACTGTCTTTGGCGCCACTTTTCCCGCTCATCCTGGCTGCAGCTGCTTTCTGATAGGGAGGGGGACATATGCTAGGTGGCTAAGCAACCTATATCAGAGCGTGTATTATTTGGTTAGTAAAAGCACTTTCACTCAGAGTAATTGCTGAGGAGAAAAACTAGGAATAGCACCTGGCTGAGGAGGAATAAAAACTTAATTTGCACAAGAAAGAAGCTTGGCACCTATCCCCTGCCTGGCCTTGTAGGCAATCTCCTTGGGTCAGTGGGAAGTAACTCCCTTAACTCAGTATCTAGCAAATGGCTAAAACTTCATCCCAGGAATGTGAGCAGTAAATCTCTTAAGTTAGGGTCTTGTATAAATAACCCGGGGTGAAGGTAAGGGGTTGAGGATTTAATTGTTAGTGGTTCTTTTCTCTATCTATGGGTGAGATGAGCTAATGTTTATTTCTCTGCATTTGTCCTTGGAAAAAGGTATCTTTGCTGAAATTCTTTTGTCCAGAGAATGGCCCTGGACAGATATGTGTTAATGAAAAATAAACACAGCTGGGGACAGTTGTCCAATTACCCCTAGTGTATAGGGAAAGTTGTGCCCAAGATTGAGATGCAATCGTGAGATTACACGTACACATAATATGGAGATGCACAGTAAATGGGGAGAATCACAAGAAGTTTACAACAAGAGACAGCCAATTCATTCAGTAAGCAGTAATTCCATAACGCCTTACGTGATGGTTTCCTCTAACAGAACCCTTAGTTCTGATAGGTTGACCTTCTGAACCTAGTTGTCACTGCTGTATACTCTGGTGGACTTTCGCTACCAGCGGCTCTCAATAACAGACAGTGCACTGAAGCATGGTGGGAGCTCACAACAACCCAACCTCGGAGACTGTTGCTTGGCCACCCGGCAGGCTGCTGAAGAGTCAGAACAGGTTCCTGGAACTATTTCTCCCTCTGCCTGAGCAAAACAATCCCAGGAAAGAAGGCTGGACACAGTGGGGGCTGGAGTGGGGGCTTTCCAGCTGACCTCTCCCTGAGTCCATCTGTTAAATGCATTGTGGTCAGGTTTGCTTAGGACCTCAGCCAAGAACTAGTAGGAAAGTACAACCTTCTCTGTTCCCACGTTTTCCTATCAGGTTCTCCAGAGCACAGCCCAGGGCTTAGTTATCTGTGTCAAGTGCCACGTCTGTAACGATACTGTTCTTCACACACTGAACAACAGGGAACCTTCTCTGAAAAAAGTGGGGGGAAGATAGAGCTAACCCATCTTCCCCTGGCATGGAGCAGAGGGTAGCATTCAGCATAGCATTTATTTTGAAAGAGAGACAGACAGACATTCCATGCAAACCATTTGTATCTCAGTTTCCGGCTGGGGCTACAGCTCCATTAGCAGAATGTCTGCCTAGAATGCACAAAGCCCTGGGTTTGACACATACACCCTCAGCGCTACATAAACTGGGTGTGGTAGTGCGTGACTAGAGTCCCAGCACTTGGGAGGTGGAGGCAGGAGGATCCTTAGCTACATAACAAGTTCAAGGATAGCTGGAGCCACATGAGACCCTGTCTCAAAAGCAAACCTCAGCTTCAGCATTTTCTACACGGCTACGTTCAGGTTAGCTAACCTCTCTGACCCTCAGTTCATCTACAAAATATCCATAGTAATAGTCCGTGGCTAGAGGAATTGCTTCATATCTCTAGGGCTGTGAGATGTAAACATCTATGGTCACTGTAGTTGCTGCTATCAGGCACCTCCCTGGAACACTTGGGGTTCCTGGGAGAAAGCAAGGGATGCTCAAAGTTGAGAAGTGGCACATGATGCTTGCCACAGTACGGTCCCACAGCTAAACAGTCTCGGTTTGTGTCACCCAACAGACACAGCATTCCTCTGGAGAAGTTAAAACATAGTGTTATGGAAATAATCCTGGGTTCTAAGTTCACTCCTGTGAGCTATGCTATTAGTCATCCCCCCTCAGTGCCTTGGTCCCCGAGGGACTTAGTGAAGAGATGGGGGATATGGAGATGAGGCAGACATCATGGGGACTTGCTTGGCTGTCAGGTGTCAGACCAATGACAGGTGTTTCTCTTGCTCATTTTTTTAATTGGGTGCTGAGAACTGAATCCAGGGCCTCCTGTGCACTGAGCAGTGCTCTGTCACCAAGTCTCATTTCCAGACCTTTTTACTTTTATGTCATTTTAATTGTGAGACAGAATTACATCAAGTGGCCCAAACTGTCTTGAAATTACTCTGTAATGTAAGTAAGTCTTGAATTTGCAATCCTCTTGCCTCAGGATCCTGAGGAGCTAGCACCATGGCCTGTCCAGACCCTACTTAACAGGTATTTCATTGCTGTTGTTGTCTTCTTGGGTTAGCTTCAAGGCAGGGTCTCGTGTATCCCAGATTGGCCTCAATGTCACTACATGGCAGAGGATGATCTTGAACTTTTGAATCCCCTGTTTTCCCCTCCCAAGTGTTGGGACCCTAAGCATGTGCTACCACACCCAGTTTCTTTGGTGCTGGGGGTAGAACCCAGTGTTTTATGCATGTTTGGTAAGCATTCTACCAACCAGGGAGTCTTTTTGTGCTACTGGGGTGTCTCAAACTTTGCCACCATCAGCGTCACCTAGGAGGCACAGTAGAAGACAAACTGGGGGTGTCTGGAAAGTGAACTGAGGTTTTACCAAGTGATGCAGGCACTGCTAACCTAGAGACCACACCTGAAGATCCATTTGACTTAATATTGGAAATAAAATAGCTTAGAGTCTAGGGGCAGTGGGGTTTAGAGGATAGCCTTTTTGTTATGGATGGCTGCTAAGAGTGCTTTCCTGTGCTGGAAGTGAAATCACCAAGGATATCGACATCTACCTTTCACAGATGAGAAACAGAGCTAATGCTCTTGCACTTGCAGGTCATAAAAAGCAGAAACTGAGAAGCAGACTCAGAGCTGTCTGATCTCTGGACCCTGATGCTACCTTGCCTGTGGGTTCACTATCTGGGTGATTAGTAGTAAATAGTGCCAGTCCATCGGCCAGCACTAGAGTCAGGCTGATGTCGGCCTTTCGGGGTGTTTTCCTCCCTCTGGGACCTGCTAGCACTGTGGAGCACTGGAATGGATTTACTTGTATTTGTCATCTAGAGTGGCCAGAAAGCTTCCCACTTGCATATTGCTAGAATCTGGTTCACAATATTTTGTGCTGTAGCATTTGACATCCTGCCAACAAGGAGTGTACAGTTTATGTGCAATAAGATTAAAAAGGAGTGAAGCTGATAGGTGAGGATTTTTCCTCATCTAAATGGGCAATATTTCTACCCAAGTCTTTAATGTGCTAAGGAGGCTGCCTGCCTCCTGCCGCACATCCTTCCTCATCAGCACAGGAAAGTTAAGACATCCTCCAGATCTACCTTATCAGAGGTCAAGTGGGGACCACGGCCACATTGTTCTCATCCAGTAGTCTCAAACACTGAAGATGGAAACCATGTGCTATGAAGGGTTAGGCTACCCTCAGACTCTGCAGTCTCCTAGAAATAGCAGTTAAAATATAGATGAACATAAGCCAACAAAGTGTCCACGTGGTTCAATTCTCAGAACCCACATGGCAGCTTACAACCATCTGTAACCCCTGTTCCAGGGGAGCTGACACCCTCTTCTCGCTTCTTCAGGTACCAGGCACACACATGGTGCACAGAAATACATGAAAGCAAAACCTATACACATAAAAAGAAAGTTAAATAATTTTTAAGAGACCTAGATTTTAAAGTAGGCCCAGCTCATTTGAATACTGTATCCCCAAAAACATGGACTCCCAGGAAACAAAGACACTTAACTTGCATTTTAGTGAAGACATCAATAGACATAAGATGGATTGTTGATTTATCAGTGGAAATTGCATCTTGTGTGTTTTGTAGCAGCTCTACATCATGAACAAAGAGGAGAGTGTGTCTGCTGTTAATGACCCAGATAATGCCCATGTCACCGAGCCTCCATATGCTATGGCCCCTGGAAGCCAGAGGAAGCCTTTGGAAAGGACTACTTACCAGGCACAAGCAAAAACGCTCCAGTATACAGGGAGTGGAAACTCACAGAACCCATACTGTGTGGTCCAGCATCCAGCAGGAATGACAGGCTTGCAGGCCCAGCCCACTCAGCTACCATACTCAGTGGGAACGGCTGATGTGCAGTGCTCACCAGAAATAACTACGGTCCCAGGACCAACACAGACATCAAACCATCCACAGTGGAACATGTCCTCTATGCCCTTTTCTGAATTTCATCCCAAGAAATTCATAAATGAAGAAGTCAGAACATTAGGGGTGAGTATGATATCATCTCTCCGGCTTTATAAGCCCATCTCTGATGCCCCTGGGTTCAGAGGGCAAAGGAGGGTAGCAGCTTCTAAAGGCTAGGTCTGGCTGGGACAACCCCACAAATGGCCGCCCCACCCTGTGTCCCTCTGTTCCCCAGTTCATTCCATGGGCTTTTAGGGAGGCTATAAAATTGACCAGCCATCCCTTTCCTAGCTGTCAGGGGCGAGGATCAACAGCACTTTCACTAAAACAGACTATTAACCCAGGCGAGTGGGTTAGAGCCTGAGCTGCTGCCTCTCTGTCCTAAGAGCTAGTAAGCTCCTCTATATCCTACGTTCTCTGAGGTTGCTGATTTCCACTCCCACCAGGGGTATTCCTGCCTCTTTCCTGTATTCTCTAGTTTCATTTGACACCTTGAAAAGATCAACTTCGTTCTCTTTTCTGAGGCAGAAACGAGGTCAGTCCTATGCTCCACTAGATGCTAGCCAACGCCTAGTAAGATGACTGACTTGCAGGATGACTGACTTATAGCAAGTTCTCCATCTCAATGCACTCACTCAGCATGGAGAACACTCTATGAGGAGACAGATTCAGAGATGACCAAGACCCGGTTCTCAAAGACCAAGAGGGGGGATTTATTTCCTAGTAGCTATTATAAACTGTACCTTCTGGCAATCTCCATGAAGACATCTGCATAGCTTTGGTGTTCAAAGAGTACAGATGACCCAGCTTCCTTTGAGTGGTTGTGACCCTCCTAGAGGCAAGAGGACAAGGGCAGGTTCAGGAAGGAGATGAACTCATTGAAACCCTGTTCTACAAGCGGGGGATAAGATCATGATGGGAAAAACCAAGAGACAGCTGACCCAAGCTAGTGGGAGCCCACAGACTCTGGACTGACAGCTGGGGAGCCTGCATAGCACCGCACTAGGCCCCTTGAATGAGGGTGACAGATGTGTGGCTTGAACTGTTTGTGAGTCCCCTGGCAATCAGACCAGAACTCCTCCCGAGTACATGAACTAGCTTTTTTAGAGCCCATTCCCTATGGTGCCATGCCTTACTCAGCCTTAATGCAGGGGGGAGGGGCTTGGGCCTGTGCCAACTTGGTATGCCTGCCTATGTTGAATACCCAAGGGAGGCCTTACCCCCTGTGAGGAGTGAGTGAAGGTGGGATAGGGAGTGGTGGGGAGGGAGAAGGGGAGGGAGGGGGAATAGTGGGTGGTATGTAAAATGAAAAAAAAAAACTTTAAATAAACAAGTAAACCTAAAAAAAAAAAAAAGAAAGAAATCCTGTTCTAATGGGGATATGGCTAGCCTATGTGCTGCAAGGCTTCATATATGTCAGAAGCTTTGTCTCTAGTGTGGTGATGTTGAAAGATACCAGAAAGCACCTGAGAGATAGGGCCTAGTGGGAGGTATAGGTCACTGGGCTAGTCCTTGTAGAATCTTGATAGCTCTCATGGGAGCAAGACTAGCCCCAACCCCTCTGGCTTTCTGTCTCACTATATAATCTCTCCCTTTTGCATGTGCTGTCATCACTATACTATTTACCACACAGTGACACAGCCAAGGGAGCCCTCACCAGAGCCAGCCTTATGCAGCTTAAACTGACAGTTCCAAAATTGTGATCTAAATAGACTCTTTTTTTTTTCAAATTACCCAGCATTTGGTATTTTGTTTCAGCAATAGTAAATGAGCTAATACAGACCCAACCCCTCCCTCTTTGTCTATCTGCAGAAATAGATAAGTTGATTGGGCAAAGACCAGAGAGCATCGTTTGTATCCCCAATTTATTAGAGTCACCTCTTAGACTAAAGTCTGCAAAACTGTCTCAGCAATCCAAATGCTGATCCCAAGCACCAAAGGAGATTTTAATTGTATGTGGGAAGATGATATGGTGATGTTACATAGACATCGTAATTCTGAATTATGCTTTTTATCCTACTAATACCGGTGAATGTGTGTTAGTTCTGGTGGCCAACTATTTAAAGGCATTTGGAAATCCAAGTTCAAAAGAAACTGCTCTGAACTGTCTTACCCTTTTTATTACCCAGGGTACCCACTGGTCCCACCTGGGGAGCTTTAAAACACCTGGAACAGACCCCACCCAGAGATATTGGTCTAGTCCAGAAGTTGGTCTAGGTGAACCCCAGTACCAATCATACCTCAAGTGGCTCTGAGAACAGGTGGGGTGATAGTGTAACTTAGCAGCCTGCAGCCCAGCTCTGCTCTCTCACTTATTTCCTCCCTGCTCTTCCCACAGGGCATCCAGATCATCATTGGCCTATTTCATATTGTGTCTGCATTCAACCCTGAACTATACAGGAGTGCTACTGTGCTGGGGTTATCAGGGTACCTGGTCTGGGGAGGACTGTCTGTGAGTACAAGGCCATGTGGCCTCCTTTCTAGGTGATCAGAAGGACCTAGTGGGGGAAGGGGTGAAAAGACCCTTGAACCTTACTCCCAGCCATGTAATAACCCTTACAGCTTTGAAGTCTGCAGGCACTGCTGAGGACTGAAGAGCCCACCTACACCCTGGCAACACCACTTTTTGCCTATAAGGAGGTTTTGGCTGCAAACATTCATTACCATATTGTTATCAGAGTTTTTAAGGTCAGAGCCTGGGTTATGCCGCACTAACAAGCCAGGCTCTACCACCCACCCTTAATGAGCCAACTAAAGAGACAGGTCATAGCAAAAAAGAAAAGAAAGATGATGAATTCACTGTGGCCACAATGAGAAGAGGAACAAGTAAAGAGACCCAGTGACACCTCCCCCAAATCCATCTTTGAGGTTTAAGTAGAAGATAAGGAGTACACATAACTAAGCAGTTATGGTCAGGGTGTGGTCCTATCCATCACTGAGACCCATCATTGCCTCAGCTCCAGTCTGTCCTGCAAAGTGACCTGACAAGTTGGCAGAGGCAAGCTTTAGTCTCTTCCTCCAGCATCAGATGCTTCGAGCAATATTAATCCCTGGTGTACATTGTCTTAATACCCTAATACATATAAGTTAGAGTCTACAGAGTTTCATGCTGTACACAGCATCTGCTTCCCATTCATAAGAGCATTGCAAAATTTCCAGGAATTAGTTAAGCAAGTTGTGCAACCATTTGGTGATAGGAAACTGACGGTTGCAGATAAACAGTCATGATAAAGGCCTTCTCCTACTGTGTAGAGACCTCACCAGCAGGTGGCAGACATTTGCAAGCACAGCCCTGTGTATATAAGAAGGACAGTGATGGTCTCTTGAGGGGCTTAACTTGGAGGTTAAGGTGCAGGTCACTCAGGGTCATGCAAAACTTCCACTGGCTCAGTGACTACTTACTAGCAAACTTGGATGAAATTCACAGGCAATAAAGGATGAGTTTAAGAGGAGCTTTTTATAGCAAGATTTTAAAAATCAGGAAAAAAAGCAGAGCCTTCAAGCCTGGGTTGCCAGGAAAAGGGAGAGGTACATCCAACAACAGGAAAAGTCCAGTGAGCTGCTGGTCTAGGGTCTTTCATACGGCAGAAACTGGGCAAAGACTGAGATCGTGCCTGCTGAGATAGGTTACTCTTCTAGGCCCATCAAGGGGCAGGCTAACTGGGATCTTGGAATGCTTTTCTGACATATCCAGGCAGCTGTGTCACTAAAAAGCTCATGCCCACATGAGTGATGACTAAAAAAACCTACGTCCCCTGAACTACTCGCAAAACTTGAAGACACTCCGCTAAAGACTTTCTTCTCCTCCAGCAAGTGGCTTTTAAAAATGTTTTTTCAAACAATATATTTTGGTCATGGTTTTCCCCTCCCCCAACTTCTCCAAGATCCTCCCCACCTCCCTACCCACTCAACTTCACAATGCTCACCTCTCTCTCTCTCTCTCTCTCTCTCTCTCTCTCTCTCTCTCTCTCTCTCTCTCAAAAAAAAAAAAAAACACCATAAAAATGAAAATCAAAACAAAAAACAGTAAGACAAAAAAAATGCCAAAAAGGAAACAAAAAGGCTCCCACCCCCAAAAAAAAGAGTTTGTTTTGTGTTGGCCGACTCCTCCTGTGCATAGGGACTCCCTGAGGTGTGGTTGGTACACCCAGTGAGACTTCACTGGAGAACACTGATTTGCCCTGTGCCAACAGGTGGCAACTACAAATAGCTTCTTTGCTAAGGCTGGGACCCCATGTCCACTCCCGCTTCTCGGTGCAGAGATCCCTCCTGCCTTGAACTTGTGTCCTGTGAGTGCGTCCATAGTCTGTGCAAATTCACATGTTCCTCAGTCCGGCCACACCTGGAGGACACTCTTTCCTTAAGGTCCTCCATCCCCTCTGGCTCTTACGATCTTTCTGCCTCCTCTTCCACAAAGGTCCCTGAGCCTTAAAGGGAGGAGGGCTCTGATGATGTCCCACCGAAGGCTGAGTGCTCCAAAGCCTCTCACGCTCTGCACATTGTCCAGTTTGGATCTCTATGTTAACTTGCATCTACTGCAAGAAAAAACTTCTCTGAGGAGGGTTAACTGAGGCTCTGATCTATGGATTTACAGTATGTCATTAGGAGTCATATTGCTCTTTTCCTTTAGCAGAATAATAGCAGATTTTTCCCTTAGGCCCATGGCCTATCCTTTCTTTCCCCACAGCGATTGTTAACTGCTAAGCTTTTCAGAGCTTGTGTTTTACAGGGCTCCCTGAGCCATGACACTCACACATATACACACTTAAATTAGATATTGTTTAATTTGTATGACTGTTTTACATTATTCCCTAATTATTTTTCCTTGCTTGTATGAATAAGTTTTGAAGCACATTCTCAAACTGCTCATTGATGGCTAGGACTATGCAGTTGACATTTTTCTTTCTTTTTATTTTAAGATTTATTTATTTATTATGTATACAATGTTCTGCCTGCATGTATCTCTACAGGCCAGAAGAGGGCACCAGATCTCATTACAGATGGTTGTGAGCCACCATGTGGTTGCTGGGATTGAACTCAGGACCTCTGGAAGTGCAGTCAGTGCTCTTAACCTCTGAGCCATCTCTCCAGCCCTTTTTCTTTTTCTTTTTTTTTTTTTTTTTTTTTTGAGACAGGGTCTCACTAGGTAGCAGCCCCTGGCTAGCCTGGAATTTTCTATAGACCAGGTTGGCCATGTTAGCCATGAACTAACAGAGATCAGCCTGCCTCAACACCACTCCCCCAGCTAAACAATTGATATCTGCACACTGATGCTCTATCTGACGAAATAACTATACTGTCTTATTAATTCTAGTAACTTTCAGAGCTGCTGGAATTTCTGGGCAGGTTCTCATGTCATCGACCAGCGAAGGCACCACTGAAGCACAGACAGTTCTGCTCCACTCTCTTGTCATATCAGCTGGCTTTGGGGCCCCTCCTGAGGGCCTGGGTCTCAGTCTCTGAACTCAATGATCTAGGAGGAGCTTATTTTTTTAGGATTTTGGACCATCCAGTTCAGAGCTCTCTCCTGACTGTACAAGGGTAGTACACTTGGCCATTTAGAAGCATTTCATCTCAGTGATCCCTAAAGAAAGAAAGAAAGGACCGGGGATGTGGCTCAGTGGTAAAGTATTTGCCCAGCACATACAAGGGCCTGGGCTCTATCCTCAGTAGTATAAAATAAAGTAATGGGAGTAGGAACTATTGTTACAACAATAGTCATTTTACGGATGAGAGGGAACCAGCTTTAGCAGTAATTCAGAGAGGACAACTCTGAAAACAGGGTTTGTTTTTACTCTTGTTAGGACTCGTAAGCTGGTCTAGGAGCACAGCTAGATGAATTTAGTGATGTTATGAAACAGGAGCCCCAATGTCCTCTCTCCCAGCCTCAGTACAATGACCACCATGCTACCCTGCCCCTAACTTCCCAGGTTAAGATCATATTCAAGAATAGGACAGTGTCAGCAGTGAATGAGTTTGAACAATGGCATGGCCCACTGTGAGTTTGAGGAGACCTAGTCAGACAGTGGTAATAATGAATGACTTAGGAATCCGAGTGCCACATACATAGTACTCAAAGTTTGGAACCATGATAATGTCAAACAAAAGCTCACAGATTTACATGTCTGGGAAACAAGATGTTTGGAAATTAAAGACACTTTTTTATGTCTATGTAGTTTATCATCTCTGGATTCCTCTCAGTCTGGGCTGCAAAGGATCCCAGCAGCTGCCTGGTAAGTCATGATGCCATTTCTTTGATGACCCATGAGTCTTAAAGCAGTAGAGTTGGCCCTAAGGACCATTCATTTGACTGAATAAATATTTATTTTACATAATTTGCCATGAAATTTAAAGCATGGGCCCCACTGTTAATGCAATCTGTTTCACAACCTGAATTTTCACAATGGAAACTCCCTTGTTCTTGGCAACTAGGGATCCCAGGCTCGGGGCATGCATAGAATTTTAAACTCTGTATTCCTATCTCAAAAGACAAACTCTCACATCTTTCTCCAATACAATCAGACATTTAAGCGGGCATCAGCGAGCAATGGTCAAGATGGAGTATGGGTTGCTGGTCTGCAGGCACTCTAGCTGTCACCTCCCCTGTATCTGTCTTCCTCCTTGGTTCCCAGGTCTGGACCTGAGGGTGGTAGGGGTTGGGCTATGACCCTGTACTCAAGTACACAAGACTCGGAAGGAGGCAAAGAGGCAGGGAGTACAGGGCCAGGGCCCAGGGAAGCCCTCATTTTGATGGCCACAGTCTGCAGATAGTCCATTTGGCATCATCATCATCAGTGGCTTCTGCTTTCTTGACCTGGGTGTGGTGGGTCTGTGACATAATGCCACTGCCTTCCTGGGTGTGGTGGGCTGTGACATAATGCCACTGCCTTCCTGGGTGTGGTGGGCTGTGACATAATGCCACTGCCTTCCTGGGTGTGGTGGGTCTGTGACATAATGCCACTGCCTTCCTGGGTGTGGTGGGCTGTGACATAATGCCACTGCCTTCCTGGGTGTGGTGGGTCTGTGACATAATGCCACTGCCTTCCTGGGTGTGGTGGGCTGTGACATAATGCCACTGCCTTCCTGGGTGTGGTGGGCTGTGACACAATGCCACTGCCTTCCTGGGTGTGGTGGGCTGTGACATAATGCCACTGCCTTCATGACCATAGAAGTGGAGGGAATCAGCGTGTAGGGTCCTTTCCAAGTTGGTTTCAGAGCCCCTTTGGCTATCTGTTTGACCCAGACAGTATCACTGGACTTGAACAAGGGGAAGCTGGTGGTGGACTTGGAGGTCGGCTGGGTCTCTCTGATAGTCCACTGGATAGCCTTTATGAAGGATTGGAAGGCCTGTAGTGACTTGAAAAAGGAATGGTTAGAGAGTCTTTCCAACTGCTGGTCTCTGAGCTGGGGAAGCAGTGGGGAAGGCCTTCCAAACAAAATCTCATAAGGAGTGAATCCCTCCCTATGTGTGTTGCAGAGAGCCCACGACCTAAAACAAAACAAAGGAAGGATGTCTAGTTACCCTTCGCTGGACTATAAGAGAGTTTGGTTAGGGCTTTTTGTTTGTTTCTTTGTTTTTTAAATGTCCTGCTTATTCATTTTACCTGCCCAGAATTATCAGGTCTATATGCACAAAGAAGTTTCCAAACTGTACCTAAAGCCTTAGATATTACTTAGAAGATTTTGGCTATGAAAGCCAGGCCATTGTCAGACCGCATTGCTGGAGAGAGGCCAAATTGGGGGACTAGTTCCCAGAGAAGCTTTTTAGCTACTATTTGACAAATTTTAGTCTGGGTAAGGAATGCTTCTACGCATCTGGAAAAGATATGTATAAAAACTAGCATGTACTTGTATCCTCCTCGCCTTGCAGGCCAGAGCTCTGTGAAGTCTGTTTTCCCGGAGTTCGCTGGGGTGTTGGCCTCTCATTTGGACCCCTTCCTGGATAAGGGCTCTCAGTTTTGCATTTGCTTGAGCATAAAACTGGCATTTGACTGAAATCCCACGCCGGGCTGTCCAGTCGAGGTATAACACACCTTGGTTTGAGCAACTCAGAGTTTTTGGACCCCAGATGAGTAGCCTGAGGAAGACCAGTTACCAGAATCCTGACGGTTGCTTCTTGGAGAATGATCTTTCCCTCTGGTGTTCTCCACCAACTTGTGGGTTCAAGCTGTCCTTTTTTATGGCTTTCATCCTCTGTTTCCTCTTGGCTGTACCATGTAGTCTGAGGTCAAGGTATATCACAGGAATTCAACAGAATATCAATAGGTGCCACTGGTCTTAGGACCACATTTCTGGCAGCCAGATCAGTGGCTCTACCTCCTGCCTCAGGGGAGTCATCTTTTTAATGTCCTTGGCAGTGGAAGATAGCAGTTTATAGAGGAAGCCACATAGCCTCTAGGAGGACCAAGATTTTTTTCTTTGTTTTCAATGTCCTCTCCCCTGGTGATGAGAAGCCCTGTTTCTCTACAGATCATACGTGGACATGTGTGGTAGTAGAAGCAGATTGGTCAGTTCTGTTCTCTGGGCTGAGGTACCTGCTTTGGGACCAAATAATTTCATTTAAAATAATTACTGCAGCCCCATGAACCTGGTTTCATCTTTAATTAAGCTACCTCCATCTGTGTAGAGCATTGCATCAGGATCTTTCAGAGGGCTATCACCTGGAGACAGTCATGGATGAGTACCTGCTGGTCATTATCAGTCAAGAGAGTAGCATGAGTGATAGTGATGGGTTTTTCAAACAATACTCGAGGACAGTCCAGGAGAGGGACTTGCTATTGGTTCACACAGGCATTAGATAGCCAGAGTTCTGGTATTCTTTGGAGGAGGGCCTCAGCTGCAGGGGAGGGGGGAGGATGCTGTGAGCATAAGTCTGACCAGAGTTAACTTTTTTGTTTGTTTTCACTAGACTAGCAGTAGCTACCATAGCTCTTAGACAGATGGTCCATCCTAGGGCTACAGGGTCCAATCATTTGGACAGGTATGTCAAAGGTGTTTCCATGGACCCAAAGTTTCAGTTAAAACCCCCTTTTTTTGGTTTTTTGGGGTTTTTTTGTTTTTTGTTTTTTGTTTGTTTGTTTGTTTGTTTTTTGGGGTGTTTTTTTTTTTGGTTTTTCGAGACAGGGTTTCTCTGTAGCTTTGGAGCTTGTCCTGGACTAGCTCTGTAGACCAGGCTGGTCTCGAACTCACAGAGATCCACCTGCCTCTGCCTCCCGAGTGCTGGGATTATAGGCGTGTGCCACCACTGCCCAGCTTTAAAACCCCTTTTGCAGTGCTTTTGTTTCCTGGACAAACAGATGAAAGGGTTTTGAAAGATCTGGAAGTGCTAAGGATGAAGCCGAAGTCAGGGCTGTTTTTAAAGCCTCAAAAGCCTGTTGTTCAGTCTCAATCCAGATTAGAGGCTCAATGCACCCCTTGTTCTGGTGTATAGAAGCTTTTCCATTTCCTCAAACCCTGCTATACAGGGACATCAATACATAGGCACACCTAGGAACACTCAAACCTGTCTCTTAGTCTTTGGAGTTGGGATTTGAAGGATGGCAGCAATCCTACTCTGAGACAGGCCCCTTTTGCGTCCCCCAAACTGGTAGCCAAGATAGGAAGCCTCTGACATAAAAAAAAAAAAAGTTGGGCTTTCTTATCCAACACTCTGTAGCCCACAGTCTGTACCTCTTACGGCAGTCCCTCAATATATTTTTTACAATATATTTTATGTTGAGGTTTGGTTTTTGGTTTGGGGGGGGGTATTGTGTTTTGTTTTGTTTTGTTTTAGTTTTAGAGGCTAGAAGGAAGTTATCAACGTATTGTGAAAGTATGGTCCCAGGAAACCTCTGACAGAAGGACAGGAGATGAGCACTTAGTGTCTCATCAAACAGGGTTAAAGAATTTTTAAATCCTTGGGGCAACCTGGTCCAGGTAAGCTGCCCACTGTAACCTCCCTCTGGGTCTGTACACTGAAAAGCAAAGATTGGTTGACTTACCTCTGCCAATGGAAGGCTGAAGGATGCATCTTTCAGGACCAAGATAGTATACACCTGTTTCTCTAGAAGACTCAGACTCATGAGAGTGCATGGGTTTGTGAGGTAGATGGTCTTGACCTGCTTATCTCTTTCCTTAGATCCTGGACAAACCTATAATTAGAGGTCCCAGGCTTCTTCACAGGCAGGAGGGGTGTGTTCCAGGGTGACTGGCAGGGTACCAGGATGCCTGTCTCCCTAAGCTAGGCAATATGGACTATTGTTGCCTATTTTCCCTCCTTTTGTCTAAAAAGAAAGATTTTTAACTCTAACATAGTATAACTATATACAACAAAAACAGTTATCAAGTAAGAATTAATTTATAATATTCAGTCTATTCATATTTAACAAATTCAGAGAAAGCATTCCACCATCCCTCTTAGTGACTCCACAGTTTTATACATAATTTACTTTCAATCATAACTGAAGAAAACTGCAACTATAACTATCTAGTCTTCAACTCTTATCAAAGACCCAGAAGGATGTAATATTATCTAACAACAGAGACATTTGGCTGCTTGGACAGTCACCCAAAGTTCCTCTGCAACATTGGGGCAGCCATCTTCAGCCTACAGGCCTAGAGTATCTGGCAGACTTTTCTATGAAGCAGGATTTTGGACTGTCCTGTAGTTGGAAGGTTTCTCCAGTCCCACCAGACCCCTGCATTCCCACAGCCTGCTTATAAAGTAATCACTCAGAAGCTTATATTAATTATAACTGCTCGGCCACTAGCTCAGGCCTATTACTGATTAGCTCTTACACTTAAATTAACCCATAATTCTTTTTTTTTTTTTTTTTTTGGTTTTTCGAGACAGGGTTTCTCTGTGTAGCTTTGCGCCTTTCCTGGGACTCACTTGGTAGCCCAGGCTGGCCTTGAACTCACAGAGATCCGCCTGGCTCTGCCTCCCGAGTGCTGGGATTAAAGGCGTGCGCCACCACCGCCCGACTTTAACTTTTTTTTTTTTTTTTTTTTTTTGGTAAACCCGTAATTCTTATCTATGTTTAGTGGCTTGGTACCTTTTCTCAGTTCTGCCTTGTCATCTTGCTTCCTTTGTGTCTGGCTGGCCACTCCTGACTCAGCCCTTCCTCTTCCCAGAATTCTCCTTGTCTGCTTGCCCCACTTATACTTCCTGCCTGGCTACTGGCCAATCAGCATTTTATTAAATCAGTGTACAAAAGCATTATCTCACAGCACTGTCCTGCCTTGTTTTGGCAAA